GCTTTGAAAAAGAATTACTCGCAGTTCGTATTCTAAGAAATGTTCATAAACTTAGGCAAAGAGAACTAGCATCTAATGGACTGTTCAACAAACTGGCTACGTCACGTCACCTTAACAAATTAGGTCAAATTCATTAGAAATTAACGCAATTTCGAAAGAATCAGTGAGCCTTCTACCTAACGGACTACTTACTTGATGACATCTTTTTCCCTTCGGCTACTTTTTCGTCGTAGAATTTTACTCCTTGGTGAAGGTTGCTGCTGCATCTCATCCATTACACCACTCTGCTGCTTCAGAATCATAATCGATTCATCAGGCGCCATTATTCTAAAAAGATAATCAGATAACTAGAGAACGCAGTAAGTGCATCTTTTAAGCTATAAAGTTTGACCGAGAATTCTATGCAATTGAGTCATCATTAAATTATCTTTGAAACAAACCTAATCGGATATATAGTATCGTAAGTCATTCGCTTATAATACCGGGGATAAGACATGGCTCAGCGGGGAGTACGGTACGTCGGTAATTCAGTACGCCAATGAGATCAGCAGTATGATGTGTGAACGCACACACTTCGATGTAGCACACAATGAAAATGCGAATGTTCTGCGGAGGTCAACCACGACGCCCTCGCTCCTCGTGCTTTTTCCTCGCCACCTGCTCTCGTCATCGTCAAAAAATGTGCAAAGTGTGAGGAGTAGTGTACTTTATTCATGATCCTGTTCCTCTAGGTTGCACTAGGTATTACGCAAGTTGCAAATGACAACTGGACAAAGAGAAAAAGCAAACAAAAATAGGAAGTCCTGTGAAATTTGTTTTCAACCGTTTCGAATGACTTCTGCATGTTAAAATAGGACTGTAAAAGAAACTGCGTTTCCAGACACATAATCAGGTATGGGTAAATCAGGAAGAATAACCAAATGATATTAGGGTAAGTTTTTGAACTTTTCTTTGGGGAAGAAATATTCCTTGACCTTTGCGTCAACAGCTTATCCTCTAGCTCTTATTCCAAAGCGGTCCAGACAACTATAGCAGCTTAGCTACTGAAAAAAAGGTGAACAGCCCCTTTGCCAATTTAAAAGCTACAGAAATTC